GGCTGTGAGCTTCAAACCATTAGGTGGAGGCTTGGAGCTCCCCCTCACAGGATACAAATGCTGAAACTTTACATGGGTCCAGGGAAAGACTGTGGAAACTCATGGGAAATAAATCCACTGTGGGTTCCTAAATACAGATCTTGTGCAGGGAAGGGAGGCTGGGAAAGTACTTGAAGAGGAAATACACAAATGTGTTTACCCTGTTCTGAACCATTTGCAGAGACATGATATGGAATGAAGATGGACTTTTGGTCTGACTCATTATAACTGTGTCATGGTTTAACCCCAGCTGGCAACTAAGCACCACACAGCCGCTCACTCACAGCAAAGCAAGGAATTCATTCGCTACTTCCCATCGGCAGGCAGGTGTTTAACTACCTCCAGGAAAGCAGGACTCCATCACGTGTAACAGTTACTTGGGAAGACAAACGTCATCACTCTGAATGTTCCCCCCTTCCTTCTTCTTCCCCGAGCTTTATATTGCTGAGCATGACATCATATGGTGTGGAATATCCCTTTGGTCAGTTGGGGTCAGCTGTCCCAGCTGTGTCCCCTCCCAACTTCTTGTGCACCCCCAGCCTACTCGCTGGTGGGGTGGTGTGAGAAGCAGAAGAGGCCTTGACTCTGTGTAAGCACTGCTCAGCAGTAACAAAAACATCCCTGTATTATCAACACTGTTTTCAACACAAATCCAAAACATAGCCCCATACTAGCTACTGTGAAGAAAATTAACTCTACCCCAGCCAAAACCAGCACAGACTGTTCTCATCTCTCTCAGTTTAGGTCAGGAGGAGACCTCAGTTTACAGCAGGAGAATACAGAATTCAATGTATGTTTATTTTAAAAAATATTAAGAGGGGCTTTAGTGAGTACCCAATAGCAAGATTCCCCAAAGCCCCCAGATATGGGAGAAGGAAGGCTTTTTGTTGATACCTCTGCCCAGCTAAGGAGAGTGCAGCATAGGTGGAATTTATAACCCTTTAGGCTGGGAAAGACATCCACAAAGCCCTACCTTCTTGTGAAGATGTTTAGGAGACTCTGAACTCTCAAGCTTTTTTGGCAAAACTTCTATTTAAATGCCTGAAATTCTGCTACTGGGTATGTCTCCACTTCACTCTCTTGGCTGAGCCAAGCACTACTTCTTTCCAAGCAGTGTGATAATCAGTGAAATGCTGATTATGCCAGTGATCAGATAGGAGCAAGACAGTGGGGTTAGTAGGTAGATGTCAGAGTTTCTGGCTATAGCTCTGTGTGCAAATTAATGTATGGTGTTGCATGCTTGCTAACTGCCAGTGTCCCTTATTTAGGGGGACTTGTGTGTGGGCATTGCTGCCAAATGTGCCTGTCATTTGAACACCCTTATCATCTTGTTCCGGTTTGTAACTTTTTTCTGTTAAAGCTGCAAGTCTCCTTCAGTCTTATTAGATCACAAGTTGCTGGATTTTGTTAGCTTGTCAATGTGAACATTACTCAGAGACATTATACAGCACATTAGCTTAGTAAAGGACACTACAGTAGCTGACAACTCTCTGGTAGCTGCATTTTTTTTCTTTTTTTAAGATAATTAACAAGGTCCCCATCTGCGTTAATGCTTTTGTCCGCAGATCCAAGAATGCAGAAGAGGAACTAGCACCTGGAAGACAAAACTGTCTGAATTTGAATATAGGCTAGCCATGAGCACTTCACAATGAAGGACATAGCAGGTTCTCTGCCTGCAGATCCTTCCCAAAGATACTGAAGTTAAATACTTTTTAAGTGGTGTTTCCTGTTGCTGGATTTAAGTCTCTGTACAGCACTGTAAGCTCAGCCTCATAGAGCAGCCAGAGCAATCCCAAATTGCACTGGTGATTTGCAGTCACCTTCAGCCTGGAGCAATGCAAATGATGAGCACAAAGTAGTGCTTTGTCTGTTGGGCAGAGAGGGGGAAGACCTCCTTCCAGCAGGAAGTTTAGAGAGCCAGAGTGGTGTAATCCAAGTTGGTGTTTTCCAAGGCACCGGGCTTACCTTGTGCTGAGCACCACTATCCCATAGCATCCTGACTTCTTCCGTCAGCCCTGGAGCGTAGGAAATGCACATGTACACAGCCTCCTCATCTCAGCAATGCTTTGTAATGTGCTCTGTGCTGGAAGGCAGCTGTTGCTATTGCACTAGTCAGACTGCTGGAGCAGGTTTGGAGCAGCCCTGCTTGAAGAGGCTTTGGCTGAGAGTATTGTGCCTTCTCAGCATGCTAATGCCTCACTGCACCAGCAAGCCTGAGTCTGGAAACCTCTAGCTGGGAACACATGGGGCTGATGCTGGCCTCCCTGTGGACTGGGAGCACTACCATGGTGCACTACCAGCCTCTTCCAATAAGTTGGGAATCCCTGCACAGAGGCAGCTGCTCATTGTCCACTGAAAAACTCTTGCTTCCAGGGAAGCTGAAAACTTGCTGATTGACAAGCCTTTGGGTTGCTTCCTTGTTCAGATCAGCCAGAGCTGACCAGGCAACACCCTGACATACAGGTAATGAGCCTTGCAGAGGAGAAAGAAGGTCCTACACTGAGCTATGCATGTGTGGTGGTGCACACACCCCCCCCCTCCTCTAGACCACCTTACGATCACAGGGACTCCTATCAAGGCTTGGCCTTTGAGCAATGAGTCTGGCGGTTAAGCGCCCCTTGGTCGTACCAGGCACTCTTGCATGGCTGAGCTGGGGAACAAGAATGCCTTGATCTCACCTGGCATAATCAGTCACCCCCTGACAGCACGGGAACATATCATTGTGGATCGTAACTCAGGTGGATCGGTACGGGAGGATCGTACCTGCCTTGCTGAGATTGATGAGAACTCAGCAATTACCGACCAGAGCTGTGGCCAGAATGGAAATTTACTGATGCCTAAAGTCAATCATCTCACAACCCTATAAACAGCGGTACC